TTTTTTTTTCGTGTCAGAAGCAACTTGAGAAACTGCAAGTCACTTCTGGTATGACAAATTGGGCCATCTGCAAGGGCGTTGCCCAGAGGACGCCCAGATGTTTTGATGTTTTACCATCCTTGAGGGAGGCTTCTCTCCTGTCCCCACATCGGGAGCTGGAGCTGACAGAGGGAGTTCATCCATGCTCTACCCAGATTCGAACCTCTGACTTGTTGGTCTTCAGTCCTGCCAGCACAAGAGTTTAATGGACACCAGAGGACATAAATCAAATTGTTCCAATTAGAGTAGACCCATTAAAATGACTGATAAATGGTAGGTCAACCATTATATGGATTTTATTAACTAAGCGGGCCTACTCCATTTGAGACTAACAATTGAATTCATTCCTATGATTGAACCATGTTCTTGATACCTTATTTAAACTATTTCATCTGGCCAGATAAATGCATTTTCTTCTGTTGCACATTACAAAAGTTGTGTTTATAACTCATGTTTTTAAATAGTGATTATGTGTCAAATTGTTCCAATGAAATCAAATTATTTGAGCAGTTTCTGAAAATGTGGAACTTCCAGTTCAAACAGAGATCAAAGCCTTGAACTTTTCATCCTCACATGTACCAGGAAAAAATCCTCTTGCACAGGATTCACATAACTAGGCTTGCAATATTAGGGGCTTCACAATCATATGTATGTATGCCTTGTCCTCTTGTGTAAGAAGATATCAAGTACCTCCTTGTACAATGCAGTTTATCGGGACCACTAATACAGGTTCAGCACATAGCTGAACCTTTAATTCTTATTTTATGCTGAGATAACTTCATGTTCTCTCAGGTTTCAAGAGGAACTTGGTCACTATGGCTGAGATCCTGCATCTCACACATAGCAATGACGTTGTAGTTATATTTTTACTCCTCATCTGCCTCTTGAAATCATCCTTAAACTGTGTCAGCCATCCAGAGTGGTGGTGCTCAGAGCCGCTCTCAAGAGAGGCACTGCAGGATGAAATGACCAACCCCTTCCAGCTTATGGACAATGGTGTTATAAAGACTTGTGATGATGTCCCTGCTTCTGCTGCCCATAACATGGCTTGTAGGTTTTTGGGAGGGGGAGGGGTGTTCATATTATTCTTTGATGTCCTGCTCAGAAACAGCACACAGAAGCTCTTTCTCTCTGGATGTCTGACTGGCTTTTAAGGTAGATTTCAAAGTCATCTGTGGTTGAATCATTACTGCCATAATTGTAAATGAGACTACAGAGCAGTTAGGATGTGCTAACTCTAACATAAAGCGCTGTAACTGACTAAACTGATGGCATCCATTGTTTTCAATTTGGGTTACATATATGTGCAACACTTTAAAATGTTTTAACATTCCCCCCCCCATCCCAAAAGTCCTGTCTTTCCAGCTGGAGGGTGGCCCCAATCGGTGTGCTGGTCGTGTGGAAATCACATACTTTGCAAGTTGGCGGACTGTGGTTTGCAGTGAAGGATGGGACATAAAGGATGCTGAAGTTTACTGCCAACAGCTTGGATGTGGCCATGCTTTGGCTGCCTTGACCAATGGCCTTTATGGAGAAGGAACGGGTGGCCCTTTGTTGACCAAAGTAGATTGCTCTGGTGACGAATATGATTTGCTTTTTTGTTCTTATGAGGAGCGGCCTGCTACATGTGGAAACTACAAGCACGCTGGTGTTATCTGCTCAGGTAGCTGTTGGCCATCCCTCTCCTTGACCCCCCACCCTCCCTGCACACCTCAACGGGGATTCTTTTATTTAGAAAAATCATTTATATTTTGGGTGGGAGCTTATGACCTTCAAGATGCTCATGAGATGTTGATCCCACCATGAAGGTGGCTTGGATTAATGTAAAATTCAGTCCATTAACCTCAGGATTGTACAAAGCTTTCCAGTCATGTTTCATATGTTATTTCTTGTGGCTGACTTCATCTGTTTTATATGAAATCTAAGATGGATGCTGAAGATGATCCAAAATTTCAGATAAGATTCTTTTCTAAATAAGTAGCAACCAAAATATTGTGTGGAATGGTTAAATTGTAAGTCAATGGCCATGACTCATTTCATCTGGATTCATCTGAATTGAAACACTTCCTTTAAAGCACCCTATGTTTGTTCCAGTGACAGTATCCCTAGAATCACAACCTGTGTATGTTCACAAGGGAGGAGTTAAAGTAGTATACAATTGGCCCTCCATATATGCAAGTTTTTCCTTTTGTGGGTTTGATTGTCCTCGAGTTTGTAGCTTGATCTCTCCACACTTTCCTTCTCCTCCTCCAAATCTTATACTTTTCCAGGCCATCAATTTCTCTTGGAAGGTGCCTTTGGAAAGTCAGGAGATGGTGAGGAGAGGATTGGGAGGAAGAGGAGTGGGGGCAAGGAGCTTGATAGATTGGAAAGGGCTTTAAAGTAAGAGTGGGTCTTTTGGAAAGACAAGTGAGTACTGGGAGGAAAGAAGTGGTTGAGGGGGTTGATGGACTGGAAAGATATTAAAATCTCATGAGGTGTCCTTGTAGCAGGATGGATGGGGGGGGGAATGAATTGCTAGCACTGTTAAAGGGCCTGTATCGATGTTAATGGGAGAACTTACAATGTTTACTGTTTTTCCACCTTCACTGGAGTCCTATTTCCCTAGCCCCTGAAAATGTGGATGGCTGAGAGTAATCATAAAAGAAAGCAAGCTTAATTCACCCACCACAAAGATTTTGGGAGGAATATGCTGGTTTTTTTCATTGAGTGCAGGGCTGGAAGAGGAATTTTCACATAGGAATCTGCCATCTACTAGGTTAGACCATTAACCCATTATTATGTATTGGTAGAATCTGGAGTATCAGGCAAAGGTCTATTTCACCATCTGCTCTCAGATCCTTTGAACTGGAGGCAATGGAGAGTGGAAAATTTAACTTTGTCTAAATAAGCTATGGCCTCTTTCTTTGCAAATTGATCCTCCCACCTCCTTCTCTCACAGTTAGTTCAGTGATTTTATGAAGTATTTGAGCCTCTTTCTGTCTCCATCCACAGATTCTGGAGTGACACCACCTGAACTGAAAGGTAAGTTGAAATTCTTGCTTTATCATAATTTTTTGAGCACATCAGAATGGGATAATGGTTTTTATTGTTGTTGTTCTCTGTTATAATCACTCTTGTACCTTGTAACTATTCTACATCAGTTGTGAAATCCAGGTTGATGATTATTCTACTTGACCAAACTCATGGTAGCAGTAGCCACTAGAGGTAGAAAGACCACGAGAAAACATTCAAAACTGGTCCTAAATCACTTTTCTCAAGTATCAGGAAATCCTAATGAGAAGAATTCATGACACACTTGTATCTTTTTAATTTGGAATGTATTTTATATGAAAAATTCATATGGAGTTGCACTTAAAATAACATTGTCTGCATAAAAATGTAGTTTCCTGTTGAGGAATCTTATTTTCTTTGAAGAAAACCCTCTTTTCTCCATAAAAAAGCCTGTACACATTTTATTTTGCAGTTTCAAAATGGGAATAGTCTGCCACTGTTCTTATAGCAGTGAGGAAAATGGTTAAAAAAATTGTCCTTACCTACTTTGACACGTGAAGTTTCCTTTTCACAGCCTCACCTGCACATATAAAAATTCTCAACTTCGCATTATAGAAATGGGGTGAAAGATGCCCATTTTTTTCCTACTTGAACTAGGCAACTACAGAATTTCTCCTATAGTTCTGAATGCTACCAGTTCACAACACTGTATCTGCTACTTAACCAATAACTAATGTCTCCTGACCCAATCAAGCCCCGAGCATGATAATTAGTAGAACAGATCTCCTTCTCTCTTTGCAGCCGATGATGCCCAGTAAAGTAGGTGTCAGGGGATTTAAGATGAAAGTAGTCATCACAAATGTAAGACAATTGCAAAAACTTACATATAACTGTTTTGCATTAATGACCATTACTTATGATTGTGACCTATTGCCACAATTACAACTCTCTGGAGGATAGAGGATGGAGCGATAGCACTTCTGTGTAGCCAGAATCAACCACAACCCCCAGGATGTTGAAGTTGGGAAAAATGCTGACATAATACCTCTATCTGTTGTTTAATAACACTGGATGTATGTCATATATGTGTTCTGTGATCCACCCTAAGTCCCCTTTGGGATGAGAAGGGCAGAATATAAATCCTGTAAATAAATAACTAAATAAATAAACTCTCTTTCTGAAACTTATTTTATGAGGCATTAGCTTTATAAGGAGAAGGTCCATTCTGCCAGTGATTAGAGATGAGTTAATGATGTTAGACCAGGATCCATAACTTAGGTGCAGGGAAGACTTTGCAGAGACTAAAGACTGCAAAATTACAATTCCAGGTATTAGATAGCATTGAACCAAGACAGTTAAAGTGATGTCAAACTGCATTAATTCTAGTGTTAGAAGGAAAGAATGGGTAGAAACAAATGATACAAACCTTCTTGGTGTGACAAATACAGACAGCAATAAAAGATAGTGGAAAAGAGACTGTGTGCAGGAGCCTGAGTTTGAGAGATGGGATAGAAAATGATATTGTCTTCATTCTCTTAACAGAGCAAAACAACTAGCAGTACTTACTGTTCATTAATTTCCAGTTATCTGTGTATGTGATTAATAGAATTTCAGTTTCATTTAGGCAAGTACTACACTGGGAGTTCAAAGGTGGGGTGAGGGGGAAATGACTGCAGACCAGATTAAGTTATTATATGGAGTAGTATTGAGACTGTTAGCCTGCCAACAAATTTCATCAGGGCTCTGAAACCAAGTACTGTACAGTACAACTCGGTTGAGATTACTCCACAATATCCATACATAGAAGTGAGCTGTTAATCACCTTTTTAAAAAGCTAAAATGCAAGCTAAATGTAGCTTCAGAAACCAAACCATATGATTAAATGGATGTATGTTCAGTTCTTTTGCAGTTTTATACATGTGATCACCATGAAGCCTCAAACTAAAACTAACTCTGCTTCATTCCAGACTTTGAAATACGGCTGGTGAATGCTTGTAGCCCTTGTGAGGGGCGTGTCGAGGTTTATTACAATGGCACATGGGGAACAGTTTGTGATGATGACTGGGATATCAATGATGCACAGGTGGTTTGCAAAGAGCTTGGATGCGGAGATGCGGTTTCAGCTCCAGGAGAGGCTTACTTTGGTGAAGGCAATGGAAATACCTGGCTTTCTAACCTTCAATGTGATGGCACTGAATCCTACCTGTGGCAGTGTGAACACTTGGGCTGGGGCATTCACGGCTGCCACCCTGAAGAAGATGCCAGTGTCATCTGCACAGGTAAGTTTCGACAAAGTTATGAAGTGGAATTTGTAAGTATGGAATTCATCTAGTATGAGAATGAAAACAGTGAATCTACTTCCCTTTGGAACAAACTAGCTGCCTATGGCAGCAAGAAATGCAAGAGCTTGGATGAGACCATAACTGATTTTTCACTGTCATTAGTATTAGAATTTTTGGTATTGTTTTACAAAGCAGGGATGAAAACATAATTTAAAATACAACATGGAACCAAGACATGCTAAATCATTCTCTTGGAAGCTAAGCACATGTGCCATTGTTACTAACAGAATAGAGGACCTCCAAGGAATATAAGATGCAGCAGGCTGTATTTCAGACCAACTGGCAAAACCACTTAGGAGTAGACTTGTGCACGGATCTATTTTTAGTCGGTACCTTCAGCCATTTGGCTTATCTGTTTTATACCACTGCTCGAAATGGTAAGGGGCCAGCCGTCATGGATTCCCATTTGAAAAATACCACATGGCAGCTAATAATGGCTCCTCCTCCCCTATTTAGCACCACAGTTTAATCTTTTTGATTTTCCTTGATTTTCCTGATTCTTTTTATTTAGTAGGATTGACTGGGAGTAGGGGACCTGAGGGACAGTGAGTGGGGTGCGCACGTGCTTTGGGGGCTTACGAGTCACCCTTAGCTTCTTTTTCTCCTTCCCTTCCTCTCCTTTAGAAAATATTTCTAAAAGATAATTATCATTATTAATTGTAGTAATGCCAGCAAACAAAAGCAGAAGCCTATCTCTCCTCTAGAGTAGAAAGTAAAAACAGGCAGCTTTAAGGAAGCAAAAACCCAAGAAGATTGTAGGCAGGCAGTAGAGACTGAGGAGATTTTTAGAGTAGTCCAAGGAGATAGCAGTCCACTGAGCTCCAGGTCATCCACTCCTCCTTCCCTGGGCTTCCTCAAAAATAAAATGCCTTGGAAAGCCTTGGAAAGCTGTGTGCTGCTGCTGATGCTGTTGAGAGAAAGCACATCTTTCCTCCAGAGTAGAAACAGCTTTAAGAAGCATTAACCTTAAACCCGCTCTACAAACAGAAGGTGAAGGATTGAGAAGGAATATATTAACTCTGGTGCTTTTAAAAATCTAGGTCTTAATGAAGGATATGGAAAGGGAGCCTATGGGAAGTCCATTGAAGGGAAGAAAGGCTCTCAAGGAAAAGGGGAGCCTTGTAAGTTCTCCATTGCCACCAGTGGGCTGAAAAGAGCTGTTTTTTCAGATGTGGAACAAGAATGTCCATGCGGCAGTGCACCAATTTTAGGGAAGAGCAGGAAAACAGATATAGGGGGCTTTGGCATAGTATCCGACAAGCAGAAACGGATAGCAATTCACCCAAAATTCACAAGCCTACATCTGAATATTCCTTGCCTAGGAAAATCTGATCAGATTCATGGGGTTATCATAAGTCAGCAGGTAACCTGAAGGCACATACACACGTGTCTAGCTTTGCAACTTACTAGATACGTAACAGATGCAGAGGTTTGCCTTAAGGACTAATTAACTAATTTGGTATTGAACTTTCAGAGTTGCAAGTCTCCTGCAATAAGCTGAGATATAGCCTTTGAGGAATAACAGGATCTTTTAAGTTCTAAAACTAATTATTAGTCCAGCAACTAGAAATAAATCCAGTGAAACAATGCAACTTGCATAAGTGTTTACTTGCCATGTTTGTGTTGTTTAAATAGGGCACCTTTAGTGGATACTCACATTTGATTTATGCTTGAAGCTCCACAGATTTGAAGCAATAGATCAACACAAAAGTTTTTTCTGGAATCTTTCATTTGCTTTTTAGTGAAAAAAAATACACATCGTAAAGTTACGAATTTCCACAGTTAAGATTAATAGACGAACAATTTCAGCCACTGTAATTTATGGAAAGCTTCAACTTTATATTGCCAACACAGATCATTCACAACTACTGAAAAATGATGGCCTATCCACTAGGTGGCAATATAATCTTCACTCCATAAGCAATCTCCAATAACTACTTCCTCCTTTAGTTTGTCTATCCTTACTTTCTATGCTTCCCTGGCTTATGAGCATGAGAAGTTCTGCAGGTTTGTTTTTAAGTTGAATTTGTATGTAAGTTGGAATAAGTACATTTTTAAGTTTAATTCCAGCCATTTTTAAAAATTTGGATAGCATTGGGAAGGATTAACACTCCTGTAACATTTGTTCTGCTGCCTGTGCCCAAGTTCAGAAAATTTAACCTCACTTTCTGTTCCTGTGATAATTGGGGTTTTGAAAATTTGGGGTTGTGGTGGAAACAAGGATTAGTGAGAAAGTTTCTATTGAGACCCCTTTTCATAGTCCAATGTTCCATAAATTAAATGGCTCCTGGTCAGAGGGACTCCCAAACTTTTCAGAGAATGGGAAGTGTTACTTTTTTTGAGCAATTTGAAGCCTCCAACCAGTACAAGGAGAAAACCCAACAAAATGTGTCAAAACATTTTAAGACACATTACAGATTGAACTTCTTGTTGGAATTCTGATATATCTTTTTGACATTTCTAAATCAATGAAATGCAGTCTAAGATACTAGGCATGTACCATCACGCAGAAAGGAACAAGCAACGTTACAGACATCACAAATCCTTCTCCATCCTTCACTGTCAAATGCTATATATTGCCTCTGGAATAGCAATTTATTAAGGGAGATTCCTATCACATTAGTCATCCTTCTGTATCATGTCAGTGACTGACAATTTGAAAGGAGAAATATTTAGGTGTCAAAAGTAATACTTCTCACACAGCAAAATCAGGGGTCTCTGATGTGGCCCTACTACTTTTTAAATGAAATTAATCCAATGTAAGTATATATTGCTTTCAGACAGAGAAAGGTCTGTAGCAACATGATCCAACTTTGTTATTTGCCATGAGGTGACTGAATTGGAAAAGTACCAACATATTAAGAGCACAGGAATGTGCTAGGGACACAGCATTCAGCAGTCTCTTCTACTATGATGGAAGGATAGAAAGTTTCCCTGTGTTTGCATAGCCATGGTATGCAAATCACTATTCACGATCATTGTCTTTCGTTGGAGTTATAGGGCACTGGATGTGAAGGGCTGTCATTGTTAGCTGTGTATTGTTAGAGCAAAAACTGCAGTGCCTGCAATTCAGTACATTGACTTTGGAAGCTTATGTTAATATGCATTGACTGATTCATCACATGAATGGCTTTCTGGGTCTGGAATGAATCACCAGTAGTTCTCATTTAACTACAAAGGTCAAGCTATGCATATGCAGCAAATAGCTCAGCGGTTGTATGATATTATGTAAAAATCACAATTGGAAGGTTGCCTTGATTATTCACTTCGCTTTCATAAATTGTAGAGCAAAAACCACTTTTATAGCAAAGAAAACAAAATCTTTTAATCGATACCTACTGTTGCCATGTCTGCACTGACCATTTAATGCAGTTCGAAACTAGCTTCAGACTACAGCAGCCACACAACCAATGTGAAAGAAAGTCCTTATTATGCATCAGTCTTCTGTGGTTTGAGCCATCATCATCCAGGCCTCAAACTGGTTCCGGGAATTCCTATGGAATCATCAGCACAGCGAAACCACTTTCTTCAATATCAGTTTGAAACTGATTTCAGTGATCAGTGTAGTGCCCTATATTTCCTAAGTGCAAAAGCATTTTTGCAAACTATCCCTCAGCAGGAGAAATGTGGTTCCACAGCACACATCTACCAATATAGTGTACATATTCTACCTATAGGATTGTTAAAGAGTGTTGGAATAAAGCATGCACTGAAAACATAAGGTGGGGAAAAGTTCAAGAGATGCATTTCCATCAAGAAAAACACAAAGACACTGTTAGAATTATTTTAATTCAACTAGGAAAATACAATATTTTTTTAAAAAAAAAAATCAGCATGGAGTCATTAAGCAAAGGTCTTTGGGATTGTGTGTGTACACGAGTCAGTATTTCTTTCCACACGTGTTAGCTATCTATCTTTCTTTTAACAACTGCCTTTTAGGAAGAATTAAGCTATAGAAAGATTTAGCATTGTACTGTATGGTTTAGCAGTCATTCTACTTTCAAGTTCATAGTAGAAATAAAATGCAGCACAGAAGAATCAGGTGTTGACCACTGAAGGTACAGTGAGAGATGGAGCCAGTAGATAATACATAGCATATATTAAGAACAGCAGAAGTATCTTGCACGTTGCATAGGGCTTTGTTTTTGTTTTGTTTGTTTTTTTGTTTTGTTTTTTTGGTTTTTTGCCTCAAACTTAAATGAAAATTATGTTATTGGCCAACCCATTTCCACTGAACATGTGGGTTGTTGGCCAAAAGTCTATTGTTTCCTGTACCAGCACAGAGATAATATAAACAGTCCATTGCTTGCTCTTTTACAGAGAACATGAAATCCAGCTCATGTTTCAATTTAAGCATCAATTTCTTCAGGTATCACTGTTAGAATAATGTCTTCATTGCCTCGGCGTACCACCAGGCTGAGCGTATTGTCCTTTTTGATAATGTCACTGACATCATTGGCTGAGAGTATGGGTTGTCCATTGATGCTTATAATGATATCGTTTTCCTGCAGGCCCCCACTGAAAGACAAAGAAATGACCTTAAGAAAATCATCGAAACCTATCACAATTTGCAAGATACGTGATCCAGAAACCTTAAGCCAGAAAACAGCCATTGTTTTGCAATGCATTTGTGCTGTACTACTCTTCTTCAAACACTCAATTTGGTTCCTTCTATCAGAATCCTACAGTTAACATGGCCAGTAATCAAGCTGGTTATATAATCAAAAAAAGAACTTTTCCAAATCATTAGTAACTATATAGAGATAAACAAACCAAAAGCAGAACAATATCCAGTGGCAAATGTTCTTCAATAAAAGCAATTTGAAAAGATTATGTGGTCAGTGTTGGTGTCTCTATGGCAAGGTGCAAATTGTGAACCTCCAAATACCATTTGACTTGCAATTCCCAGTATTTCTTAATATTTGCTTCTTAGGGCTGTTGGACTTGCAACTAGCCCACATCTGGATAATTCCCATTGAGGTGTATGCTATTTACTGTTATGTGCAGGTTTTGCACCACTTGAGTCCAATGGAGGAACACAAATGTGCCCTTAACTAGCAGTGTCCTACTTAAGAGTTGTCTAAACAAGACGTTCTGGATGGCTGGGTGAATGTTTTCCTTTTTTTTGCAGCAATCTCAGATTATTTCCAATGGGTACTGTCTTCACCAATATCTCATAAGCACTCTTTTGCTACAGAGAATCCAGGGCAAATGATGCGCTTTCAAAAGCATTGGCAAAGGTCACTGCTGGCACAGAGACAAACAAGGAGGATACCACAACTATCCTCTTGTATCGTCTTGTCTCATCTTGTTGACAAACTCTGGCTCTGAGTTATGGAAACATTAACCCAGCTAATGGGATGAGACATGATTCAGAGCCTTCAACATAATCACATTATATACCCACAAAGTAGTCATAGCCCCTCATCCAAAGAGAAATGCCTTACACAAGCACTTCTTTCAGGATGGATCTTTTTCAGATCTTTTTCAGATTTGATTAATTCTTTAGAAGACCTGCCCTTTTTCAGGTTGAAGAGACTTCCCCACCCTGCTCTCTATCAAAAACAAAGAAACATGAGCTATAAAAATATACTAAAATATACAATTAATTTAGTAAATTGTTACTGAAAATCATGATCATGTGTATTGGTTGAAGGCTTTCATGGCTGGAATCACTGGGTTGTTGTAAGTTTTTCAGACTGTATGGTTATGTTCCAGAAGCATTCTCTACTGACATTTCACCTGTATCTATGGCAGGCATCCTCAGAGGTTGTAAGCCGCTCTGAGTCCACTTCAGGGTGAAAAGAGCAGGGTAGAAATATAGTAAATAAATAAATAATAGCATTGAGCCATGGCAATTAAAGTGGTGTCGAACTCCATTCATTCCACAGTGTAGGTGCACTCATGTTGATTGTGAAGCTTTTAACCAGGTGATGTATATGGCAAGAGTGTCTCTGTGAGATCAGATTTGGAACAATGTGGGTTGCATTTCCTTCTGGCATGCTATCCTCTGATTGTTCGTGCAACTTTATCAGATGAGAGGACTAGTCCATTAATCTATTCCTTTCCCATTCTCAGCCGTGCTCACTGCCTAGTATGGAATGGATATAATAGCAAAGCCTCTCTTCTGAAGTGCGGTACTGGGAAATGAACAGATTTCCTAAAATAACACATCAAAAGTCAGATGCAGGGAAAGGTTTAGTTAATTTTCCTTTCATTAAACATCATGATCAAAGACCTATTAAGTGTTTATCCTTCAAGCTAACAAAAATAGGGTTATTTAACTTACGCCTCAGCTGGCGTGTCTGGAATTACTTCAATAATATAGGCTCCGGAAATAACGTCAGGGAAGTCTTTATGGCGGTCCTTCAGTTCTTTAGCTTTACTGTAAAAACAAAACCAATCAAATTGAATATGAATTAACCTTTATGTTAGAGTACTTAGCAATGAACTGGAACAGGTCTCCAGAAAGCCAAAAGGCATTTGAAAAAAATTTAAAAACTGTTCAGATTTCCAAAATCCAAAGAAAGAAAAATTAATTCTGCAACTTCTCTTGAAATTTATTTCACATGAAATGTCCTAGTTCGTTGTTCATTTTGATATTTTACTGGTTTATTTTTTTAAAAAAAAAACTCAAATTAACTTCAAAAATTGAATGCTACAGCTTTTATGAGTTTCAGACAGCATTTGACACAGAGCTTTAAGTTTAAGAGAGAATTTGACACGGACAAAGCTTTGTCGTTAGTTTTTTGTCGGATTTGGCAATGTTTAATATGTTTATTCATATCAGGTTCTGTTTGAACATGCCAAATAGACTCTGATGATCTACAACAGCTCTTTGCAGGACTTCTTAGAACTTCTAGAGGAAAGGAGAGGAAAACCATATGTCCCTTGTTCTTGTTTATTTTCTACGGCATATGAAATATAAACTGGAATGGCTCAGTAAGTGAAGACTCATAGGTCAACCTGCCCACACATCAACTAAACACAACTTCAGGAATGAGAGACTTAAATTCAAAGCAATATTTAAACACCTTTTTTTCCTTGGCGTTCCCCATCTTCAGCTTGTCCAAATTACCCAGTGGATTTCAATGACCAAGTCGGGATTTAAATCCTGGTCTCCACAATCCAAATTCAACACCAAACCACTAAACCATGCTGGCTCTCATATGATTAAATTAGCTCTTATGAAATTTAATTCGCAGAAAATTGGAAAATAGGTGTTTGATAGAGGAAATACAGTAATTTTAAAACTTACCTAGGAGTGAGAGACACCATTCGAATGCCAATGTATTTCTTCTTTGTTACTACAGCTTTTCCTGTTTTTAAACAACAGCATTTAATAAGGTATCATCTTTTTCATTGGATCAGAAATACTGCACATGTTATGTATAATGATATGTTAATGTAAGCAAATACTGAACCCCTTCAAAAAATAAGTGAGAAAGAACATTTTGCATGTTTCCTACACCAACAAGTAAAAAGTAAATGAGTGCATGATGTTGAGAGGTCTCTTTACAGATATATTATCTTACTAAATTAAAAATACACCCAACCTTCAGCTATATGCTATTATCCCATTCTACTATTTTGTACTACGTAGAATGCTGTTAAGACATCATTTTGTGCATCGAAAATAACTGTCCTTGTTTTCACTGGAGTTTACAACTCCATAACTGTGTGCTTAAGGATGGACAACTCTTGACTACAAACTACAATTCCCATTATCCACCAGCCATGTTGGTCAGGGCTGAAATTCTGTTGTTGAGGATTTCAGCATAGGTTTCCTGTGATGGAATAAGGTATGGTACCTTTGGATTGTCGATCATGTGACTCAGTAAGGAATTTTTTAATCTTGTCCGATGGGATTGCAAAGGAGATCCCAGCAGTGACTTTCAGAGTATTAATGCCAATCACTTCGCCATCCTGTAGTAATGTGAAAAATTAAGTAAGCATAAATCATTTCTAAATAAAAATTGCAATTCTTTCTGCTTTAGCCAGAACAACTGTTTTGTAGGTAGACAGCTATGCTGAGCTGAATGTCAGAAAGTATAAAATGTTATTCATTTCTTTATTACAGTGAACTATTTTCCCCTAGTATTGGAGGCAAACTGGCTCAAGATCTTAGTGGTATAAAGAATATTATGCATCAGAGTCTGAGAAAATCACTTTATGGATATGTTTTAGAACATATTGCAGTATAGTAAGAAAACATATTACAGTGTTCCCTCGCTACTTCATGTTTCGCTTATTGCGGACTCACTGTTTCGTGGGGAGCAGCAGGGGAACACTGTATAGAGGGAACACTGTATAGCTGCTCCCCGTTCCTTCCTCGCCAGGCTGGGTGCCCAAGGGGCCTCTGAGGCAGGGAGCAGTGGAGGCGGTAAGAAGAAGGTGGCCACTGCCAAGTGGGCGGAGTGCCCCTATCCCGCCTCGGAGGCCCCTTGGGTGCCCAGCCTGGCGAGGAAGGGGCCTCCGAGGTGGGGAGCAGTGGTGGAGGCAGCGAGGAGGAGGAATCTGCCACTGAAGAGGGCCTCAGCAACCGCCTCCTCCTCTTCGCCACCTCCGCTACTCCCCGCTCCTTCCTCGCCGGGCTGGGCACCAGGCTTGGGCACCCAGTGTGGTGAGGAAGGGGCCTCCGAGGCGGGGAGCAGCAAAGGTGGTGAGGAGGAGGAGGCCACCACAAATTATGGACACTCGAGTGGGTGGAGCATCCCTGCTTTGCAGATTTTCACTTATCACGGGTGGTCCTGCAACGGAACACCCGCGATAAGTGAGGGAACACTGTATATTCAAACATTCAGAGATATCACTCTCCACAGGAAGAGAGCAAGGGAACTCAAGGACATAGAAGACTTTGTTTAAGAGGGTGTTTAATCAACATGATGGTGTTTCCATAAACATCTATCAGCTTCCATCTCTAAACTTTGCTAATTTGAAGATGGAGGAGAGTAATCTGTTTATAAAATCTAAAACATACATTAAAAATACTATATATATATCTTACCAGGTTTACTAGAGGTCCTCCAGAGTTTCCATACTGTAAATGTAGAAAAAAAGTTTTAAATATTTGATCATTTACAAACTTTCTTTACATTAGGAAATATGGCTGCTGCCCAGAATTTCTATAATCCAGTGGCCTTGTCTAATAAAGCACCTAAGTACCAATAAGGAGTACTTTCAGACAAGCAGCTCCTAGTCAAAAGACTTTATGCTACTATTCTCTTTTTATTCCCTAATGGGTTTTCTAATGGTGAGGGGGAAAATGGTAGAAGTGATGGGAAAGTATGGGAGGGATAAAAATTGAAAACACTATCATCTAAACCCTCTACAAAATTCTATAAATGAGGTAGGACAATTCCATGATTAAAAGCATAATCTGGAAACTTTCCATAATCTAGATACTACAGTATCACAAGATTTGAATGGGGTCCTCCAGTATTGTAAGTGTAGTAAAGCAAAATCTCAATGAGAGGTGCACAATCCTGAAGTGCAGTGTTCAGAATTTCATGAAAGAAAGTCCCTAAACATGTAGCTGAACCATTGGGAAGAGCAAGAAGACCATTCAAAGAAAACTGAATTGGAAAGTTGGCTGAAGCACATTGAAAACTAAATATTACAGTAGCCAAAATAAAGTTCTCTTGTATGAAGATACTTAAGGAGACTGTCACTGGAAAGCTTTACAAGGTAGTAAGCTTTTGTACCTTATTCAGAACCCAATGGATTTACACCGTTACTTTGATGCCTGTCTTCATATATATACTTTACGTTTTAATTCAGTCAACTTTTTTGGCAACTTTTTACTCCTTTTAAACTAAACCCACAAGGCACTGATTCCTTTATTTCCTGGCCTTGCTACAGAAGCTTAGGAAAATATGGCTGTTTTCTTAATTCTGTAGACAGCTAAATTACAGGAAGTTAGCTCTTGGACAGTTAGATTTAGTATGTTATGTTCCTTCAAATCTAGTGGAAGAAGCACTGCAAGTCAGCATTTCTTTATCTTAGTTTGAGAAATGCATCATTAAAAAAAAACCAAAAACAAAACAAAACAAAAAAAGTTTGGGCAAGCCATAATGAATATTTAAAGACAGTTCAAGAACACATCCTGCACTTAATAATTTTAAAAGAGTGCTGTGGTTTATTACTGAATATTCGATAATGCTTTTAAAAGAGTAAACATAAATTTTAATGTAAGTCATTGTTATTGTTCCAAGGAAGAATGGAAAGAACTGTTTTGTTAGATAGGCGCAAAAGTAAAGACATAGCAAAAAAAATCTGCTGATATCACCTCTTTTGAGGTCAGAAGCATCAAGTCGGRGGAAAAGAGCTTTATGAAAAGTGACTTACATTAATAATGGCATCTGTTTGGATATAGTCCATATCGGAGTTTCTGAGTCCCAGTTCTTTGCCTCCCCGTTGAGTCGTGCTAACAATCCCAGTAGTCACTGTATTCTGGAGAGAAAACGGGCTTCCAATGGCCACCACAAATTCACCAGGGCGTAACTCTGCCGACCGCCCAAGCAGTAAGACTGGTAGYTTCCCCTGCAAACACAAAAAGGAAAAAAAATGTAAATCAAGAACAACTYAAAARTGYAAATCAAGARCAACTTAAAAKGCATCAAGACTTTTGTAAGATGGYGTTTGAACAGTGAATAGCAGCAAGTGGAAAGAAGACTTAGGCAACTCGTGACAATGAATTGACCCAGACTTGGATTTGGTTTTTAACGGGCGTGTTTAGTCAATTGTTTTTAATGTTTTAATTTATCTGTTGAATGTTTTATGATGGTGATGGCATCGTATGGTGCTTGTTGTGAGGCCGCCCTAAGGTCGTCCCCCCCCCCCCGGGAAATATAGGAAATAAATAAATATATAAAGAGACTTTTGTAAGATGGCACCAGCCAGAATTGCTGGTGAACAAAATATGGCAAAATATGGCAATTTGGGAGATTCCTAATAGGAATCTTCCTAGAATCACTGTATGATGGCAACATGAACTATTCTCAAATACAACATCATCTTTACAACATAGGCACATGCAACTGGGACACTTGATATAATAACCAATTGAGATTACGATAATATATGTCTAGAGACACCACATAGAAGTTCTGTGTATAGTATTGAGCTTCATGGAGAACAGCTGGAGTGTGTTATCACTAGAATTTCACAACAGCAATGATGTGTATGTTTAGTTAAATATGAACACAATACTATGCAGAAAATCCACACCTGACCCACTCAATCCCCACTTACTGGGAGCAGCAGCTGCAATTAACAGGGGCCTATCCTCCTATCACTTGAGACATCAGCTAGTTTCTCCCTAATTGACAGGGGAACAAACCCCCAAACTCAACGATCACAGCAACTGCTGCATGGCAAGTACCAATTGGGGGCTTTCACAATTCCTCCGTATCCATCTAGATGTGTTTAGAATTTCCTGAGACAAATATAGCACTTTAAGAGTTTTCCAAAAGACATTCTGGAAGCAATTCAGCCAGCTAGAAAAAGACTTCTGATGGACAATCTGAATCAGCTGGACTGAGTAATGAAGTATCCAGAGACACATCCTGTGTTATACAGTACTCACATTTAAAACGGCATGTTTAAACCACTAAAGTTTAAAAAATTACATTCCAAGATACGAAGCATACTTTTATCATGCCTTTTAAATCTTGCTTTGAATGCTAAACGAAGCAGGGTTTTACAAAATAGAAGTCTTAGAGAAAGAAAAAACTACAGAAAAGGAATAAATATAGGACAAAGTAGGTTTGGTGGTGGAAATGCTGTGTCAGGCGTAAAGGAAAATTCAGGAAAACAATTGGAAAATAGCCCATTTCATGATTCACCAGTAGCAAAGTCCAAGTGATTGTCTTACATATGATATTCTCACATATGATATACGGCCTTGGCCCAGCCTACCTGGAGCGCCATGTTCTCCCTATATATACTGGGGCGAGCATTGAGGTCAAGCGGGGAGACCCTTATCTCCACTCGGGCCTTTTCCAAGATGTGCCTAAGCAGGACCAGAGAAGGCTCCTTCTTACGACAGGCACCAGCACTTTGGAACTCCCTTCTTAGTTCCAGAAGAACCAAGAGCTGCCCTGTTCCTACTGAGTTTCCAGAAGGGGGCAAAGACCTTCCTATTTCAGGAAGCTTTTAACTAAAGATGGATGTGTCAGGGCTAGGATGACTTTTAATGAGTTTAATGAGTTTTAATGGGTAAATCTTCTGTACATCATTATGGGGACCAGAACGGGAAGATGGTAAGGGGTCAATGTAATTGTGATTTTAATTATGTTTTTAACCTTTGCATTGCTGTTTTAAATTGTTTTTAAATTGTGTTAGATTTTAGCCTGTTCTTGTAAGCCGCTCCGAGCCCCAGGGGAGTGGCGGCATATAAGTTTGAATTATAAATAAATAAATAAATAAATTGTATGGTTTGATCTATTACAAGCTGCCTTAAGTCCGCTTGGCGGAGAAACGTGGGGTAAAAGTATCTTAAATAAACAAATAAACAATATTCTGCCATCATTCCCCCCTTTCTGGTTTCTTGAACATTTCCAATTCCTCTACCCATTATTAACACTCTTTCCATCAATGTGTTTATGCTGCTGAATATGTAAAATGCCAACTAACTATAGGTAGATATGGTTTATTAATATCATAATTATAAATTAATATAGTTGCATGAAGATATCTTTCTTCTAAAGAAATTGTGATTGTTAACCTTCAAAGATGTAAATCAGCTTTGTTTATATACTAGTAAATCTGAGTTAAAACACTTTGAAATATATCACTTACACATGCTATCTCCAAAACAACTAGAGAAGGGGGAAATTAGGGGGACCAGACGACTGAAATACACTGAAGCAGAAGAATGTGTTCTATAACTTGTCTAAAATAGGACAGATCAGATCAGCAATAAATCTCCTGAGACAGACACACATTTTCATAGCCGTAGGATATTTCTGGCAAGAGAAATGAACTATATAATAAATAGTTGATGAGTAATGCAATTATCTTCTGTTGTGCTGAGTCTTCAAGCCTGAGCCAATAATGGGTGAAATCTTAATTCAAAGTCAAATACTATATGAGCTGGCTCAGGATCATCTATGTGATTCAACATGCCTTCTGGAAAGAGTTAGCCTTTTCTTTGTGGGGTTAAAACAAAATTTGTTGCAAAATCCCTTCCTCAGCAGATGTTATAAAACATGGTTGCAAAACAAAATGGGGAGTATATAGAAAGTTTCCGTCTTATCTTTTGTAAAAAAAAAAAAGACATCTATAAGCAGAAATGTCTTAGTTTGCTCTTGGGATAAGACTGCCACTCAATATGGCAACAATTATTCACTTATATAAACTGAAGTCTTTTTCTTTTCCTTTTGTAAAAGGGTCCAGTTGAGCTCAAATGTTTAGCCAAACCAACCAAATAAATCAGGAACTTAGAACACTATCAAATGATGTTCAGCTAGCTTGCTATGTGAACATAAAACCAGCTTAGCCCAAAATGTTTTTGCATTACAAGTATCACTCTTCTATATTAATTATAATTAGACACGGCCATGAAAACTAGGTGGGATGTGTTGAAAAATCATGCCTATGGCCTTAAGGCAGTGGTTCTCAACTTGTGGGTAACCAGGTGTTCTGGCCTACAACTTCCAGAAATCCCAGCCAATTTACCAGCTTTAAGGTTTTCTGGGAGTTGAAGCCCAAAACATCTGGAGACCCACAGGTTGAGAACCTCTGCCTTAAGGCATACATTCTACAGCAATGGTTCTCAACCTGTGGGTCCCCAGAGGTTTTGACCTCCAACTCCCAGAAATCATAAAAGCTGGTAAACTGGCTGGGATTTCTGGAAGTTGTAGGCCAGAACACCTGGTTACCCACAAGTTGAGAACCACTGCCTTAAGGCCATAGGCATGATTTTTCAACACATCCCACCTAGTTTTCATGGCCGTGTCTAATTATAATTAATATAGAAGAGTGATATTTGTAATGCAAAAACATTTTGGGCTAAGCTGGTTTTATGTTCACATTGCAAGCTAGCTGAACATCATTTGATAGTGTTCTAAGTTCCTAGACTAAGTTGAAGTTGTAGACTAAAACATCGGGGGACCCACAGGTTGAGAACCACTGCTCTACAATAAAGGCTCAAAATTGTTTATAAAGTTTATTCCTCCAGATTTAAAGGGGAGATTGTTTTTCCTTTAAATGTGCAACAAATACAATCCATAAATATGCAGATACAGGACCAAGCTTTTGAAGTGTGCTTCACTTCCTTAGAAATTATTGGCACTCCTAGATATCATATTTTGGTGGAAAGAGGGTTCTGACTGAGATAAGTGAACCACCTATTTGGTATTGTCATCAGTTTACAGTTCAGTTGCAAATTCTTGATGCAGATAAATAGTGATGTTGAGGAACTACTTGAAGTCTACTTCCAAATTCAGTATCCAATTTATTGCCCATTAACTGTCACACATAAAGTTTAAATAATGAACTGTCTTTTCAGTTTGAATGCATTTATCTATTTAACTTGTTTATGTGGAGCAGAATTTTGTGTGTGTGTGTGTGTGTCAGAAGCGACTTGAGAAACTGCAAGTCGCTTCTGATGTGAGAGAATTGAATGTCTGCAAGGACATTGCCCAGGGAATTGCCAGATGTTTTACCATCCTATGGGGAGCTTCTCTCATGTCCCCACCTGAGAAGCTGAAGCTGACAGATTCACCCTGCTCCCCAGATTCAAACCGCTGACCTTTTGGTCAGCAGTCCTGCCAGCACAAGGGTTTAACCTATTATTCCACTGGGGGCTGGAAACAAGGGTCCTCCAGATATTGTTGAGTTGCTACTGCCATCAACACTAATCAGCATAACTATAGGATAATGGATGTTGCCATTCAAAACATCTGGGAAGCCCCCCCCCATCCCTAATGTAGGGTCATCACTATTCAGTCCTTTAAAAGTAGTTAATTCCTGCCAAAATGTCTAAAAACAAAAAAAACAGTACATTTAAAAAAACAGAACCTCTTGCTCATAAAGGGAGCATTGGAAAAGGGCAGGTGGGAGGGAGAGGGGAACTATTTTTGCAAGTAAAATCTATTGGACCAAATTACTTTATAATTAAAATGCAGAGCTTTATAAAAGCATGGCATGACATTATATGCCTTCCAGCATACAATAAAGGGTGATAGTCTGGGCATGCCATTGATTTAAATCTGTGTGCCCTTCCCTCTTTTCCACACAGTGCTGAGTCACTGACTCATTACATAGCCCAGAGCAAACCATAACCATTTGTTTCTCTCTCTCTTTTTATAATTCCTGCATTATTGTGTGCTTTCATACAAGGTTCATACAGCAAAGTCTATCAGATCTTTTTTTTTCAAATTCTGAAAGCCAGGATGGCTTTTCAACTCATGTGCGTCACACCTCTGATGCTCTGGACACTGCATTTGTAGACTCAAATACAGGGTTAGTCAAAATGAATAGGCCAATAAGAAAATTAATTTTAGACGAATGTATGTTTATTGTAACCAAACTAAAGC